AGAGACTGCCGAGCCGAGGAGAGGAGTCGAGAGCCGCCGGCATCGTGCCTCCCGATCCCCCCCTCCCCCCCCTCTCGCCGCCTCCGCCCTCACCTTCGCCGCCGTCGCCGTCCCCACCGCCTCCGTCCCCGCCGCCGCCCAGCCCGCCGCCGCCCAGCCCGACGCCACCGTCACCGCCGTCCCCGAGTCCGCCGCCGCCCTAGCCGCCTCCTCCGTCGCCACTTCCCCAGCCCGCCGCCACCCCACCCCCGCCGCCAGGTGCTCGTCGCCTCGTCAGCTCTCGCTGAGATCAAGGACCGGTACAGCGCGTGAAGCGCGAACATCGCCCGCGCCTGACGTCGGGGACCGCGCTGTGTGACGAATCGCCTGAGGCCCCCAGTCGCTGGCGTGGCTGTTGTTCTGCGCGCACCCTGAAAATCCCGCCTCGCGCCCATTCTCGCGTGGTGTCCACTGGCAGTGCTGGCGGTTAGTTTCCAGGTTGAGATATGTCACGTATAACTGGATCCGAGAGGGCGCAGCTGGCCAGTGCGCAGTGCGGGGGGCCGGCCCGGTGGCGCTGGCGGCCCGGACAGCCGGTGCGCAGGGGCCAGAGGGGCAGGGCCGCTAGCGGTTGCAAAAAGTCTCGGGTGGACGGGTGCAATGGCCAATGCCCGCCAAAACGAACGAACTTACCAAAAACGCTGTCACGGTCAGAGGCTCAGAGCTCGGCCTTCGCCCTTCGGGCGTCTCGGCAGACGGCACGATCTACATCGATCTAGGCATCTCTATACTCAAAAAAAAGTTGCCGGTAGTCTACGCGGTCTACCAAGTCTCTACCGGTAGACCGTGGTGTCGTAGGTTCATTACGGTCTGTTCGAATCGGTCTACCGGTAGACTGCGGTAGACTGAAGACTCGTCTACCAAACGGTCTACCGTCTACCCGGTCTACCGGTAGACGGTAGACGGGCCACCCCTCAGACTCGAGGCTGAGTGGGTCCCAATCGGCGGCGGAGAAGTCCAGGTCGTCGCCGTCGGCGGAAGGCAGCCGCAAGGCGCCCTCGGCCTTGACAAGGCGGATGAAGCTGGGCGTGCCCATGATGAGGCGAGCGACGGGTAGGAGGTCAGGGCGTCTCGCTTGCGGATCCAACCCGTTAAGCTTCCCCGTGCGCGGGTTACCCCGCACACGGGTCAGCCTGCCAGCCACGTATCCACGCGAGCGTGGTCCGCGTGCATGGCATATGGGCACTGCCCCCGCGCTTCTCCCTCGCTTCCTCGTTTTCGTCCTTCTTTTCACCCCCCCCCCCCCCCTCCCCCTCAAGACGGGGGGGTTCCCGAGTTGCAAGTCTTTAGGAGCAAATCAGCCTCTTTCTGAGCTACGGATGCGCCGACTTCGTCAATCGCAAAACCCTGTCTTTTTTTCTGCCTTGCTGGCCTCACCCTCTCCACGAGGCTGCGCTGCAACGGGAATCGCGTCCTCCTGCCGCTGCGCATCAGAGTATGGTGCAGGCTGGCTCGGTGGTGAAGCTCTTCGTCGGGCAGATCCCGAAGACGCTGGAGGAGGACGGCGTCCGCGAGGGTGCGTGCGAGTAGATCGCCGCCGCCCGGCGCCGGACCTGCCCAGGAGCTCGAGAGCCGGATGTGCACCGGCCTCTGCGCGCGCCTGCACCGTCGCCGCCCCCCCCACCGCCACCAACACGCCACCCACCGCCTCCACAACCGCCGCCATTGCCGCCATTGCGCGCGCTCGCGTCACCTCACCTGCCAGAGATTCGGTAGTCCGCCGAGCGCGCCGTGGGGCCTGGAGATGCCCCGGAGCCAAGGAGCGTGCTGTCAGGGTCCCCTCAGGGAGCGACTGCACCGTGCTGTCAGGGTCCCCTCCGGGGAGCGTCGGTTCGAAGGGCGCTGTCAGGGTCCCCCTCGGGGAGCGACGGCGCCCGACCGTCAGGGTCCCTACGGGGAGCGACCCAGCAGCCGGGATGAGGCTGGCTCGCGTGGCCGAGATGGTCAAGGGCCTGCGGCGGCTGCGGGGCGACCCCGGCCGACGAGTGCGCCGAGGCGTGTCGCCCGACGTGCTGCGCGCGCAAATGGACGCGATGCTCGATCCGAGGACGGTCGATGGCGCCAACATGCGCGCCGCCCTCTCGCTGGGCTTCCAGGGGCTGCTGCGGGGGGCCGAGTTCACCGTCAGAGGTCGCCAGTGGGACCCCGCCAGGGACATGTCGCGAGCTGACGTCGCTGAGCTCTCCGCGGAGAGAGTGGTCGTCATGCTGCCGTGCAAGAACATGCAGCATCTCAACGGCAAGACCGTCCCGCTCGTGGTCGGCGTGGCGGCGGGCTGTTCATCGACGCCCCAGCTGAGCTGCGCAACCTCCTCACCGTCGACCCGGTGTACGGCGACCGCGCCACGCGCACGCCGCTGTTCCGCCACGCCGATGGCTCCGCCATCACCGAGGCGCAGGTGCGGGACATGATCAAGCGGCTGATGCAGCGCGCCGGTGCGTCGCCCGCCGAGTTCGGCGCCCACTCGCTGCGCATTGGTGGCGCGACGGCGCTCTTCAAAGCGGGCGCCTCCCAGATCGACATCATGACGATGGGGCGGTGGTCGTCCGACTGCTACCGCCTGTACGTCCGCGCCTGCTTCGGTCACGCCGTCGAATGGTCGAGGAAGGCCGGGTCCACGAGCGTCGACGACGTCGCCGAGGAGTACAAGGAGGTGGACTGTTACTGACGGGGGTGCCTGACACGCGATCGCGTGGGGGGGGACTGCGCCCTGGCCGTTCCGGGCTCACGCGGTGGTCACACCATCCCGGACCGAGCGAGGGGTAGGGAGCAGCACCTCCCCCCTCACCACGCATGTCAGGCGCGGCCGCCGCCGAGCGCGGCGGCCGCCCAGGCCTGGTGGCCGATTTGTTTGTCTCGCAAGAGGAGCGCATTTCTCAATTCAACTACCTCCTCTTCTGATGCGGAATATATGCAATGTATGGGCACTGCCCCCGCGCCTCCCTCTCGCTCCCTGCTTCCTCGTTTTGATCCTTCTTTTCAACCCCCCCCCCCCCCCCTCTCAAGAAGAGGGGGGGGGTTCCCGAGTTGCAAGTCTTTAGGAGCAAATCAGCCTCTTTCTGAGCTACGGATGCGCCGACTTCGTCAATCGCAAAACCCTGTCTTTTTTTCTGCCTTGCTGGCCTCACCCTCTCCACGAGGCTGCGCTGCAACGGGAATCGCGTCCTCCTGCCGCTGCGCATCAGAGTATGGTGCAGGCTGGCTCGGTGGTGAAGCTCTTCGTCGGGCAGATCCCGAAGACGCTGGAGGAGGACGGCGTCCGCGAGGGTGCGTGCGAGTAGATCGCCGCCGCCCGGCGCCGGACCTGCCCAGGAGCTCGAGAGCCGGATGTGCACCGGCCTCTGCGCGCGCCTGCACCGTCGCCGCCCCCCCCACCGCCACCAACACGCCACCCACCGCCTCCACAACCGCCGCCATTGCCGCCATCGCGCGCGCTCGCGTCACCTCACCTGCCAGAGATTTGGCGGCTCTGCGCGCGCTCACACGCTCACACCCACTCACCGCAACCCTCCCGTCGCCGTGCAGTCTTTCAGGAGTACGGCGAGATTGCTGAGATCGTCATCCTGCGCGACCGCCGCTCGGGAATGCACCAGGGGTGCTGCTTTGTCAAGTACAACGGGCTGCAGGCGGCGCAGGCGGCCATCTCTGCGCTGCACAACCAGCGGTCGCTGCCGCCGCTGCGCAACCCGCTGCAGGTGCGCTTCGCGGACTCGGGCTCGAATGGGGGGGAGCGCGGGCAGACGAACGCCGAGAACAAGCTCTTCGTCGGCGGCGTGCCCAGCGGGTGCGGCGAGAAGGAGCTCCGGCAGCTCTTTGGCACGTACGGCGAAGTGCAGGACGTCTACATCCTCGCGTCAAAGTACGGATCGCAGGAGGGGCAGCGCGGGTGCGCGTTCGTGCGCTACGCGTCGCCGCAGTCGTGCGTGGTCGCCATCAACGCGCTCCACGGCAAGTACGCGATGAAGGCGGGCGAGCTGCCCCTCGTCGTCCGATACGCGGACCCACCGAAGAGCCGCTCGGTGGGGCCAAACGGCATGTACGGCGGCGCAAACGGCGGCGGGAACGGGCGCTTCGGCGGGTGGAACAACGGGGCGCCCCCGCTCTGGCCTCCGAGCGGCGCGCCCGCCCCGCCGCCGGGCTGGCCCCTGCCCTGGAATATGGGCGGGCCGGGCGGGCCCAATGCGTACGGTCCGCCGTGGGCTATGTCGAACGGATACAACTACCCGCCGCAACAGCCGTCCCCGCCGCCGCCGCAGCAGCCGCCGCCGCCGCCGCCGCAGTACCAGCAGGCGCCGCCGCCCCGCAAGCACTCGCCCCCCGCCGCCGGCTACGGCGGCGTGTCGCCCCCGACGACCGCGGACATGCCGCCGCCGCCGCCGCCGCCGCCGGCGGCCGCGCCAGTGCCCGCCTCAAACTGGAGCGAGCACCGCACCGCCGACGGGCTCAAGTACTTCTACAACACGGCGACGGGCACCTCGTCGTGGGAGCGGCCGCCCGAGCTGGCGTCGGCGCCCTCCCCGCCCGTGGCCACGCCGCCCGTCTCGGTCCCGCCCCTGATGGGCGGCGGCGGCGGCGGCGTCGGCGGCACGACCGCCGCCGCCGCGGCGCTCGCAAACTCGATGGCGTCGCTGTCGCTCGCGGCGCCGACGGCGTCGCTGCCGATGGGGGGCAACGGCATGGGCAACGGCATGGGCAACGGCATGGGGAACGGCATGGGGAGCGGCATGGGGAACAGCATGCACAGCAACAGCATGTCGATGGCCATGGGTGGGCTCGCCTCAGACTCGTACTCGGGCTACTCCAACGGCTCCTTCACCGGCAGCGGCAAGGCCGGTGCGCCGCAGCCGCGCTCACGCACACACACACACACACACACACACACACACACACACACACACACACACACACACACACACACACACACACACACACAGACGCACACGCACACACACACACACACACACACACACACACACACACACACACACACACACACACACACACACACACACACACACACACACACACACACTCACACACGCACACACGCACATGCACACACACACACACACACACACGCACACTCTCACACGCGCACCCACATACACACACTCCCCCGCCTACACGCACACAC